AATATATACATTAGACAACAGCTCTTGACAATGTTTTGTAAGGGATGTTGGTGCTAATCCTTGCATTATGATGTAGGGAGTGATAGGGTCCATCTTCAGGTCAACTCTGGTCAAGAGACAGCACAATACAGTAGTCCCTCGATTATCATGGGGGTTACGTTCCAGACACCACCACGATAGGTGAAAAGCCACAAAGTAGGAACGATATACTTATTTCAGTATTTATATATTTTTTAAGGCTTTCCCACAATCTTGCAGTCTTCTTAACAATGTTCTAAACTCTTAAGATGTCATTTTAACAACATACATATATGTATTACTGTAACATGTTATTTGGGTACTCACCAGTGAAGATACTACAACTTGAAGGATGAGTTCAGCTTCAGGATTATTTGTGACTTTACTGCCATTTCTGTGAACTTAATAGATAGATTGTTACTCCTGACTTTGTGCTGCAAAACTATTTTTACCACATCGGTTTCTCCGCTAGTATTTGCTCCCTCCATTGTTGTTCTTTAAACTTCGTCAGAAAGCAGCGGCTGGAAGCACTGTTGGCTTCTGGGCCGTGTAGTTCTTTTGACTTGCGTTACAGTATAGGCTTATTGAAAGAAAACTACAAAATGGTGAAGCCCGTCTGAATTTTTTGTTTGTTTGTTTTGAGTCCTATTGGTTGGTTCCCAATCCCGTAACTTTTTATCCCGTACCATCCCAATCACGTGACGTTAGTAATATTTAAGTTGACAATTGTGTGTTGTGTACAATCTTACGTTGAAAACACACAAAAGAGTGAATCTGCGAATGTCGAACCGCGAAGTATCGAGGGACTACTATACTATGTCAGTAACATCCTGAGTCCTTAGTGAGCTACCACTCTAGTACTGTTGTGCCCCGCCTTGTTTAGCTGATGTAGTCGCTGTCTGGGTGTATGAGAAGACCTTAAGTTTAACTGCCATATTGTTACTGTATGTTCTACAGTCCAAAAATAAATGTTGGAGTCTTTTTGGGCCTTTTCAGTCGCTGCACCCAGACTGTGGAACCAACTTCCTCATGCCTGGCACTCCATCACTGACCTGTGCCTTTTTTAAATCTAATCTTAAAACCTTTTTATTCAGGCAGGCTTTTGATACCTAGTGGCACTCTAAATTTTTGTATTGTTCTTATTGCTCTTGTATCTTTTGTACTGTGAAGCACTTTGTGCATCTTTTGGTTGTTCTGAAGGGCTCTGTAAATAAATGTGGATTGACTGCTTGCTTTAAAAAAGACAACACTTGTCCACATACAGCATGTGTCTATAGACAGCCTGCATCATGTTGAGGTCCTCTTAAGAGGACAAAAGGACAAAACACCCATACACAGAGTGGTGTAGTGTATACAGTCCAGTGCAGCGAGGACTGTCCAGACCTCTACATTGGAGAAACTAAACAGCCTCTTCACAGACGCATGGCTCAACACAGGAGAGCCACCTCCTCTGGACAAGACTCAGCTGTTCACCTCCACCTCACGGATAAGGGACACTCATTTGAGGACCAAAATGTGCATTTTTTGGTCCAAGAACACAGATGGTTTGAGAGGGGGTGAAGGAAGCAATTTATGTAAAAAGAGAAAAAAAACATCTCTTAACAGAGGAGGAGGCCTCAGATTTCAAGTTTCAAAACTTAAGCCCCCAGTATACTCCCACGTATGTCCATCCACACGTACGTACATGCGTACAGTACGCAGAGGGTTCAGACTTTATACTCGAGCGTCCACCCTGAACGTCTGCAGACCAGCTCCACAGACAAGGGGCGTTTACCTTCGGGAGGTCACCGATTGGTCATTTGCTGACACGCCTACTGGATTGATTGACAGGTCGGGATTTTTTTTTTTTAAATGAGTGCTGGCAGCTGCAGCTGTGTTCTGTGTTTATATGTTGTTAATAAAAAGATCTAAAAAAACAAAACATAGAGCACTGGCCCTGCAGCCCACACATCAGACCAGCCCACCAGGAAATCTCCAGACCCTCCCACAGCCATGCTGGACCTGATTTTAATTCAGTCGTGACAAATTCCTTCATTTCTCACCATTTCAGTCATGGCATCAATGGAGGAGGAAGAGATCACTTGCCTTTTGGCAAAAAAACCAAAAGAAAAGGCCAGATCAGGGTTGAAGAAGAGGAATTTAATACATTGGTGTCGCATACAAAACAGTCCGTCGCCGAACAGATTATTGTGCGACACCGAGTACACAGTCGTAAAAATTGAGCTTTGTGCAGACATGCCCTGCGGGGGTACGCTCATACCTCCGCATACGTACGTGCGTACCTCCGCGTATACTAGGGGCTTTATAATGCAGCTTTAGGATTGTTACCCAGCCAGTTTCACAACTATTAGATGGGAACAGAGGGGCCTCATCTGTGAATTAGAGTAACAAAGACCTTAAGAAACCCCTACTCTTAAGGTGTGAGGTGTGATTTGTCAATCTACATATGTATGTGTATCTTATCAGCTTTATAACTTGAATCACACACGCTCTGCTCTTTGAATTGAGAATGCTCCTCGGATGAGGAGCGAAACGTCTTTTGTTACAAATAAAGTCCAGTTGTTTTGTCTTGAATATTTATGAAGTCCTCTTATGGCCATCCAAGTCCCCCAATCTTCGTCCATTCGTGTCAGAATATAAGCACGAACATCACCTCCAACCCACTGCACATCTGCCAGATATCGAGGGCCAGTTTCAACAGCTGATTTACTGCAGGACAGAATAGAAGAGTTGTTTAAAATAAGGACCCAGTGTACGCCATTCCAAGCCAAACAGTCAACTTGTGGTCACATGGCTGCGGGATGTTCATTTTCACACACAACGCCACGAAACACATAGAGCAGAGCTCCTGGGAAACCCCTCTCGCTGCAGTATACATCACTGCACAGGTGATGTACCAGAGTCTCCACTCCATCCTTGCATCATCATTTGGCCACAAATCTACCATCAAGAAAGCGCCTCACTTTTCAGCACACAATGTCTGCACGATCTCCATCCAGGAGTTTTTGACCATTTGACAAATTTATTGTGTTTTAAAAAGAGATGCACAGCTGAATGTTCGAGTGCATTTCTTCATTGACGAACACGCCCTCAAACTTCTGGCCATACACCTATGTATACGCCTGTGACAAAAAGTTGGGGCCAGGCCTTTGTCAAGAAAGAGTGGGCGAAGCTACCCTGAGAAGAAAATGTCCCAATTTTCTTCACACAACTACATCAATGAGGTCTGATTTTGCGACTTCGAATGGAGTATGCTTCAAGTATCAAGTATGCTACAAGCTTCTGCTTTTTGGAATCGTCGGATACCTAGGATATCGACAAATTAAGAAGACATCGGCAGCAGTTTCACCTATGGTAAAGCTGCCAGCCTTATGTGAAAGATTAAATCGTGGCTCGGGCTCTAAGACTCATATGCTTAACGAGCTCAACAGCAAGCTGGATGCGATTTCTGAGAATCATAGGCCACTTACGGCTTCTGGAACGCGCCAGCATGAAGGATTCGACCTTGGAGAAAGCTAACGAGTGCGGACCGGGCGGAATGTCCACAAATCTGGCTGTTTGGATTTGCCATTGAGTGTACCAACAGAACTGAAGGCAAACAGAAATCAGAGTCTGCCTGCACAAAACAAATGTTTATCTGAATTTGGCTTCCCCGCTGGCCTTGGACAAGCTAACTTATCTCAAATTGCTCCTGGAGGATACGGAAACTAGAAGATCTGCCCCTCCCCCGAGGATATCTGTGGCCTTATCAGAATTGTGATGCTGATAGACACTGTACCATCTTATCAGAACTTTGGAACTTTCTGGAATGTCCATGGACAACTCACCGCCTCTGCTGACCTCTATGCATCAATGCATATGTCTTATGTCTATTTATGTTGCTTTTTGTGCTGAGGTCATTTCTGATCTCCCCTTTCCTCATGTTGTCACTTTCCTTATCTAAAAAAGTGGCGCCGCTGAAGTGGCTGCAGCCTAGTCTCCGAATGTATGTCTTTCTTTTGTTAATGCACTTTGGTAACAGTTCCTGTTTTAAATGTGCTATACAAATAAATTTGACTTGACTTACAGCCATATTACCTTAAAGATCAACATGTGCCTCTTCATTTCACTTTAACTCCATGGTCCATTTGGGGGCTTAGCTATTTTTTTGTCAGTGAGTGTATATGAAATAGTATTTTTGGTGTTTTATCCATCTCTATTGGATAAAATCAGAAAAACAATCCAACAGTTTTGTGTTTTGTGGCAAGCTGATGCTGTTGTTGCATTTTAACAGCTTGAACAAAAAGTTACCTTAAATGCTCAGATCTCATCCTGACCCAGTTTTCTAAGACAACTTGTGTTAATGTTAGTGAGCATTCATACTATGTGTTTGGAAGAAAAACAACTTGCACCTATAAATATCTGCTGCGAGTGAGGAGAAATCGCTGCCTATTTACACTTTTGTATACAGACTGTATGTAGCTCTGTGTAGATGTGTTCTCATTTTGGATCCGAGTGATTCAGAAACGAGGCAACGGCTCCCGAGTTCCATTTATCACTGTCAGACCGTTATTACCCGGAGGAGATGTGTGAGATTGGGGTATTGTAGGATTAGCTGTTGGTTTATGCCTTTTCGAAACAAAATATTGCCCCTTTTATGGTAATTTTACCTGTTGCTATGCTAACGCAATAAATGCTGTCCATCATGGCATCAGAGAAAGTAAGTGCTTGAGTGCAGTAAAGAATACTAATTATAAAAACACGCAAATAGGCTGGATTAAAACCTATTTTAGATCAGAGTAGAAAAGAAAAATGCTGGCAGCTCTGGATTATTTTCTATGCATGATGTCGGCCATAGCATTTCCACTCTGCCCAGTTTTCCTCCTTTCCCACCCATTTATCACCTTTACGGATGAATGCATTCAGAGGTGCGTCACACTTTATGGTGACAGGGAGGAGGAGAAAATGTGTGCTTTGCTAATCAGCCTGTCTGTCCTGTGCAGGTGGTCGGCGGTGCTTGGCTTTTCAGCCGCATCTACTGTAACATCTTTGTCACGCTGGATGTGATGATGTGCACGGCCAGCATCCTTAACCTGTGTGCCATCAGCATTGACAGGTGAGTGTGCAGAGGGCAAAAGTGTAACAACCTCACTATTTATTGTGTATGACTACAAATGTTTCCATGACATAACCTCGTGGACATTTAAACTCTTTCTGCAGCGCAATATATTGCTCATATCTTCTCAGTGTGTCAAAAATATGAACGTGACAAAACAAAGAAGTTTTCATCTAATTTCGAAACACCTTTTTGCAAAAATGTGGGGAACTGGGTTGTGTTTGAATGTTTGCTGTTCTAGATGAGCATATTTACATTATTTATTTGCTTAGTTCTCTTCTTGTGTCACAGTTAATATTTGATAAGTCTCTGAGGTCTTTGAACTTACAAGCTGCAGGCATCGAGTACAGTAAAATATAATCAACTGAAGCACAAGAACTGGAGGTGTCGAGGGATTTATTTACACAGCTCGTATTGGGACGTGAGCTAAACTGAAGAGCGCTCATAAAACTACATGATGTTCTGTTAGGCTCAAATTTGCTGTGTCTAATACTTTGAAATAATGTTCCAATTTGTTATTAATTAATAATTAGTCTTTGTCTTACAGGGGAAAAAAAGTGCAAAACCATGTTTTTCCTGTGCTGTCCATAACACGTTATAAGTTCAATTTAAGAGAAATGAAAATACTAAACATAATTATGAAACAGGGACGATTAAAAATGGCATTTTTAACCCGTGAGCTCTGTCTATATGTGTTCCACTTTAAAATAATAAAGCAAAGGCTTGCATCCAATCACTAAAATACTGGTAAACAGAAAATTAAGTAGTTTACTTGATATTTTGTTGTTGCTGAATTCCTACCAATAAATGCAAACACCTTTTATTTATTTAAACTTTTTATTGTTTTCATTGAGAACTAAGCAAGTACTTGTAATTAGTTATTAAAGAACCTTGCTGTATTTCTCAGCCATCCTCCTCCCCAGTGACACTCCAGCTCCTCCTTAGAGATCTGTGTGTTTATAAACCAGAGAGGATTAATAATCCCTCCAGTAAATTCTAGCTGTATCACGGGATTTCTTCCCTCTGGGTCATATCTCGAAAATGTCCAAAGGAAGGCGTCCAGGATGCATCCTAATTAGTTGCTCGAACCACCTCAACTGACTTATTTCACTGGTAAGGAGCAACATCTCCAATCCAAAGGATGACGGAGTTCGTCACCCTGTCTCTGAGGCTGAGCCTGGACACTGTATAATGGAAGCTCATTTCATCTTGATCTGGGATTTTTGTGTTTTTGATCCAAACCTCGTTGAGGTGAGGGTTTGAACGGAGACAAAATCATTTTATTGAGAGCGCTGTCTTTCAACTCAATTCTTTATTCACTGCGATAGACCAACACAACGCCCTCAATACCGAGGACTAGGCCCAGATACTTGAACTCCTCCACTTAAAGCAGAGACTCGTTTCTGACTCAGAGGAAACGTAGTACCTTTATCCAGTTGAGCCTCTTCACACTAGAGTTGCATTTGGGCCCAAAAAATTTGACCCGACCAGACCCAGCCCGTAGCCATCATTTCCAAACCACACCCGACCCATTGAATTAACAGTAATTACAGGTCTGACCCCCCCCCCCCCCCCCCGGCATTCTTAATTAAGCTTTGACTGCTTATATAGTTATTAACGATCGGCGGACGCGTATGGCTAAGGGGGCAGAAGATCGGCACTGAGGGGGTGTTTATCCTTTCATGACCGTCAAAGCGCATTAAATCCCTGATTCTGCCTGCATTCTGCATTATTCAGACATGGACCCTGCTCTGACATGTCGGATATTTCGTGATCTCACCTGTTTGGGTCGTCGGCTGTGCACGCCCGCTGGGTGCAGCGGCTGAATGAACGTCCATTTGGGCTGATGGATCACTGGCTGTAGTCCATCTGAAGCTTAACTGAACTTTTTACCTCTTTCAACTGGCCGGTCAGCGCGTGGTCAAATGGCCGTGTACGGCTTGAATTTATGGCAAGCCATGTTGCCATATAATTGGATCGTCGGCCAGGCGAGTCCACTGACGCAATCAAAAGTCCGACAATGACCCGGCCCACACATTAAGCACATTAATATGGCCCGACCTGGCCCTAATCCAGGTCGGGTGGGGCTGGACTCCGGGTTCGGGTTAGAAATGACAGCTCTACTTGACACTCGGTTGCGAACTGTCCCACGTTGACGCTCCTGGCCTGAAGTCACCAACAGAAGCACAATATCTGGGGTTCCCAAACCAGACACCTTCCTCTTCACGACTGCCCCTTGAAATCCATAAGAGCGCCACAAGCAGGATCAGTAGGGACAGCCCTGCCGGAGTTCAACCTGCACTGAGAACAGACTCAACATTGTGCCAAGGATATGAACTCAGCTCTCAGACTCTGTTTTAAAGCTGTTTCGTGATCTCAACAAAATCCATATTGCCCGGTTCTGAGCTGTTTATGGACATTTAGCAACATTTTGGATCAATCCACTTCCTGCAGCTGCAGACTGGTCACACAGCAAGTCACGCTGAAAGAGAGTAGCGTAGAGGCTGCTGCGCAACCAGGTCAAAACCAGAGTATTTTCAATTAAAATAAAAAAAATAATAAAAAAAAGAACTGGCATTAAAATCTTCCAAGCATGGTCTCTAACCTCTTATCTGAAATGAGTCCAGTTAGTCAAAGAAACTTTGACATTTTATTTGAGTTTCTTTTTGCCTCGCTTTCACTTGAAGTTACAATTTAAAAGCCTCACTCCAGTGTTAAGGAATAATACAGATTAGCTGGCAGGCAATTCTTCCAGCATCTTTTGTTTCTTTAATTGCACATTGTTGGAAAGCTGCTTTCATTTACAATAGCTAATTTGCACTTAAGAAATGAGATTATTTGCTGCTTATTTGTTCTTGAGTGAACAACAGCCCTACAGCTTCCATGGTTTTTGAAGTTCCAAATTATTTGGAGCACCAGCAGTATTTATTATCTTATGTGACATTCCACTTTTATCTACTTAACAGCCTTTTGTATGTATAAGTTTTATAGTGATGTTTTTTTTCAGACAACAAAAGAAATTCTCTCCTCAAGCCCAAGGTGAAACCAGTCATGAAAGCACTCAGTAAAAAGCAGCTGAGCTGTGATTCAGAGCTGATCAACCTTGTTTTTATTGTAACATAAAGCAGCGCTCCATCTATAAACCCTGTGCGTAATACTTTTACCGCCGCTTTTTTATTTATTTCCACTTTTCTTTAACCAGAAACATCAATGGCATGAGAGTAACAGAGGAGAAAAATGGAGTGTTTTAGGTTAAAGTTGGTGTCTGTGTGGCTTCCGGATTCACGCTGGGTTTTTACCCGAAGCTGGACCGGAGTAATTATTCTGATGAGAATAAACAATGATGACAGTTATCTGGCTCTAAACAACAAAACATCACATCCAGTTTGGGTTGAAGTCCAGCATAATTGCTGTTTCTTCACAGCTACTGCTAAACCCAGTTTCCCCTGCGCTCATTATACTGGTGGTGTATAGTGTGCTGATTAACTCTTAAATCAAAGAGCTCTTTTTGGGGTTTTTGCTGAATTCCCAAATTGTCTGTAAATAAAAGTGCCTGATGTAACTCTCTATTTTTGGTTTTGTATTATCTCTCGCTCTCTGTAGGGTATTTTTTTCTAATTATTGTATCAGCACTTTTTTAATGTCACCGCCTAAATCCGCCGTACACACTAATGCGTACATTTGCAGGTATACAGCAGTGGTGATGCCCGTTTTGTACAACACGACTCATCGCTCGAGGAAGAGAGTTTTTGCAATGATCGCCACAGTGTGGGTTCTTGCATTCACCGTCTCCTGTCCTCTGCTGTTTGGCTTCAACACCACAGGTCAGAGCTAAAGCAGCGTTTTACCTTCTGTCCAGATATGTCCCAGTTAAATAAGTTTCATTAAAATCTCTCCATCATGAGATATTTTGGGAACAGACACACACAAAAACACACCACAAGCAGACAACATTATAAACTAGAGAAATTGCATTTCCTGCTAAAATGTAGTGCGAATGCTTATTGCTGAATAATTTGCTGAAAAACAGCTGAAATTAGCTAAAAAAAATAAATAAAAGCATGCTGAAATGTAGCTGAAATGGAAGAACAAGCCTAAATTAGCAGAAGAAATTTAAAAAAAAATATAACACATATTTGCTGAAAATGGTTTAAATATTCAGAAATTAGCAGAAAATTTAAAGTAGTTTTTTTTTAAAAGCTGACATTAGCCAAAAAAAAAAAATGTCTGAAAAGTAGCTGAAAGGCAGAAAGGAGCTTAAACTGCTAGGAAGAAGTGGAAAGAGCTGAAATGAGCTTAAAAAAAAAGGAATTTGCTGAAAAAGCTAAAATTAGTTTAAAAACAGCTAAATAGTAGCTGAAGTAGAATAAATATCTGAAACTAGCATAATTAAACTGAACAGAGCATAACAAACTGAAAATAGCAGAAAAAAATTATTTAGTCTGAAAATAGCAAAAATTACAACGAAAAACTTGATTTATCTGGAAACAGTTGAAATGAGCTAAAAATGCTAAAAACTTAAAAGATATAATGAGCAAAAAAAATAGCAGAAGGCAGTAGAGAGAGCACAATTGTGCCCAATTGGCTGAAAGAAGCAAAGATGAGTGGGAATTGTCTGAAAAAAGGTGAAATTAGCAATAAAACAGCTTAAAAGTAGCTACAAAAGAAGAAACAAGCTTAAATTACCCAGAGGAAGTGGAGAGAGCACATTTTAGCTGAATTAGGCTGAAAAAAGTTTAAATGAGTGCAAAAAATGTGGACTAAATGTGGACATAAAAAGCTAAAATTAGCTTAAAAACAGTTAAATAGTAGCTGAAATAGGTGAAACTAGCATAAATGAGATGAAAGGATCATAAAAAACTTAAATTAGCAGAAAGAAGTTAAGTAGGCAGAAAGTAGCAGAAATTACAACATTTTTATTTATTTATCTGAAAACAGCTTAAATTAGCTGGTAGCTCAATATCTAGAATAAGCTTAAATTAGAAGAAGAAAACAGAAAGAATACATGTTTACACATTTATGCTGAAAGAAGCAGAAATTAGCAGAAAAACGTGGAAATTATCTGAAAAAAGGAAGAAAAAAACAGCTGAAAAGTAGCTAAAAAGGCAGAAAGAAGCTTAAATTACCAGAGGTGGAGATATCTTTTTTTTTTTTTTTTTGCTGAATTAGACTGAAAAAAGTTAAAATGAGTGCAAAAAATGTGAAATTAGCTGAAAAAGCTAAAATTAACAACAACAAAAAACCCAGCTAAATAGTAGCTGACATAGCAGAAAAAGCTGTAACTTGCACAAATATGCTAAAAGGAGCATAACAAGCTGAAATCAGCAGAAAGAATTTAGAAGAAGCACAAAAATGTTGTAGTTAGCAGAAAGAATCAGAAAGGATCACAAAAGTAGCTTAAACGTCCTTGTATGTCCTTGTAGCATCATGTTAACATGTTAACCTTTGTCAAGTCTGAGGACACGACAGCAGATGTTGTTTAAGAAGAACCTGCGTTATGAAGATGTCTGTTCACTGAGCAGACAGGGCGAACTATCCTGTTAATGCCGTGTTATCCGAGACATGATTAGTGAGGAAAGAGTGGGGGAGAAAGAAAAACCTTTCAGCCTCCAAACTGAATTGCAGTTTCACATTTTCCTTCAAAGTCTCTCACTTGATAGAAAAAAGAGAACTGCAGAGAATCTGTCACAACAAAACAACTTTAATGATAATAGCACCCGAATAAGATTAAGTTTTAACAACATTATAATCAGATTAGCTCAAATAAAAAGGCTAATTTAAACGAGTTATTGGCATTTTATTAGAGAAAAAGTTCTGTTGTAGAACAGGAAATGTATTTGATATGGTTGGCTAAAGTTCAGAGTGAAACTTCTGCTGAAATTGCATATAAATTTCTCAAACTGCCCCTTGAAATTTCTCATGTTTTGCTAGTTGCAAGTTTAATCTGTTAGTCAAACCGTTTGCAAATAAGAGAGAAGCTGCTGATTATCATATGTCCATCAGCTGTGACCGCAGGTTGCCACGGTGACGTTAAATAAAGACTAAAAAATCACTAAATGTTCGACTCAAGCAGCTGCGTTTTTCATTTTTCAGAAAAACTAACTCTGAAATGGAAACTATGAGTAGCCCGGAGCGTTTTCACACACATTGATGTGAGCGTCAGTGTTTTACTGCCATTTGTCGACTTCTGTTGCAAAAAGTGTTTTAAGTCTGTTAGCTTAGAGGGTTACAAAACTTTAAGGTGTGAAAAAAGACGACATTTTGGTGTAAAAATTGTGCCTGTCGAAGTTAAATTGTCTTTAATTAGACCGGTTAATGAAACTTTTTATTAAATTTTCAGCTTTCCCTAAGTCAGGGCTATTCAACTGGTGGTCCGGGGGCCAAATCAGGCCCTCGGGTGAGCTCAGTTCGGCCCACCAATGGTTTCATTTTTAAATAAAACTAGATTTTAAACCATAAAGCAAACTTACTGACAATAACTGCTGATGTCCAGCCCCTGAGTTCTTGCTTTCAGTAACTATGGCCCCCTGAGTAATTTAGTTGACTAGTCCGGCCCTTGGTTTAATTTAAACTAAGGTTTTCCTTTAGGACTTTGCAGATGACCTGAGACTTAAAGGGACACCCAGTCCAGTCTGAGGCCCTTCCTGCAGGAATACCATATTGTGCATTATCTACCCAAATAACTGTTTTCTGGCTAAATACATGAAATAAGAAAGTATAACATGGAGTTTCTTTCAAACCAAACATTTGCTGTAATGCGTTTTCCTTTTTTTTTTTTTTTCCAAGCACGAACACCCACATCTAAACAATTTATTATGAGACTTCTCAACTATTGTGGTTCCAAAAGACAACAATAAACTGCACAACAACGAGCATTAGTCAAGCACATAATTGAGCTGCTCGCTGCCAGTTAAAGACTTGTTTTAGAATCCATGAAAACAATGGCTGTTGATTGCAGGAACTCTGTTGTTCTGTCGGACGGCTCGATTCGTGCTCGATCAGGTGCAGAATGCGTTGTTTCAGGGAAGCAGTGAGCTGAACAGGAGGAGCTTTGCAAGTCAAACATAAAACAGCTTTGTTATACGAGAAAGATATCTAGAAACCATTTGGAGACAAGACCAAAAAATACTTTACTATATGGGTTTTTTTCTCTGCAGTATTGGAGTTTTGTGGTACATTTTACAGCTGAGGTCAGAGCCAGTTATTCTGCCATTAGCTTCAATTTACAGCTCTATTAGCTCACCTGAGGAGTTTTTCTCTGGAATTTTGATTTAATAAACTGCTCCAGAGAGTCTTTTATCATGAATTCACAGTACTTTACTGTCATATTAGTTGTGCGCTCCATATTAAAGAGCACAAACGATTGAGGTCGTTTAAAAAGCCAAGATAATTCTCTGGGATCAGAGGTCCGCTCCAGCTGTAAAATGGATCTCGTGAACCGGAGGTTGCTTTTCCAAAAAGATCTGTTCGTTTTACTGCAGATGACCCCAGAGTGTGCTCCATCTCCAACCCCGACTTTGTGATTTATTCCTCCGTGGTGTCCTTCTACCTGCCATTTATCGTCACCCTGCTCGTATACATCCGCATCTACGTCTTCCTCAGGATGAGGAGGAAGAGGATCACCTTCGGGCAGGCCAGCGGAAAAGTGCAGCCTGGCTCCACCCAGCTGTCCGTGGTGAGGCTCATTTTAAATTCATTTTCTGTTTTTGATGAGGTTTAGACTTTTACAGAAATATGGTACTATGATACAAAGTTAGTCGACCTTTATTAAAGTGTTTATACTTAGTTATTTTATGACTACCAAGCAAAGGCTTTATAAAAGTCTATTTTTGGCACGTCATACCAAATAATGTGTTGATAATGTTCAAATCATTATTTTCATTTTTAACAGTAAACGATGTTTTCATAAACTGCTATTAAAGATTTTAAATTGCAGTGTCTTAAGACTAGCCATTAGCCCTGTCAGACTATGTACAACAGGTAAGATATTATTTGTTCACACGTTTTCCACATAAAACCACTTCAAAATTGTCAACATATCAGTTACATAACATTTACACACACAGTTGAGCATTTAGTATGTATTTTTATTCAAAATCTTGTGCGATATTTAGATTTTATTGTAAAAAAAAAAAAAGACCAAGTTTTATGATCCAGCTCATAATCTTTATTTCATAGTTTCATTTTTCCAAAGTTTTGTCCTGGCAGCAGCTTTATAAACATCAATTAGCCGTTGTCTTTCTCATTAACTTTCACCGGCTGTATTCACACCGATAACATTTTTATCTGTTTGACACATAGCTCATAAAAACCTCAGTGGAGACTAGGGATGCACGATATTTGATTTTTGGCTGATATCCGATATGCCGATATGTTAAAACTTATTTGGCCAATAACCAATATTTTATGTACTTTCCTTTGTCAGAACGTAGCCCTCTTATTTAGGCTTATTTGCTACAAATATTGTGTAACAGCTGTAAGAGCTGGTGACATATATTCAGTAACAGACATATAAAATGCATAGCACTTTAACTTATATTAAATGAAACATGTTAAATGTTATTTATTAGCATTAGTCACCTGCGATGCTGTCTCACTTGTGGAGGCTTGTTCCAGGTTCCTAGCTGCAGTGTTGGATCCTCTGCACTCCTGTGCATGAAGGACAGACTTTTTAAGTTCAAAGTTTATGTCTATCCATTGTGCCGTAAGACTAATCATGCTAACGGTGCTAACACGACGTTCAAACGTCTGTGGTAAAACTCACCCAAGCGTTATCGGCTATTAGCTTCTCAATGATGTCAGAAACGACGGCTTGTAACTCGGGTAAGGCTACGATGGAAAAATATCTCCGACTAGAGATGATGTAGCGAGACTCAACGTAGTCTAAAAATCCTCTAAATCCGATATCCTCAACGAAAAATCTTCCACACTGCCAACATTTTGAATTTTCCTCTCCACTGTGATCAGATCAGGTAGGCACGTGTGACATCATCACATTGTGCTGGCATTGCAAGCATCCTTGTCACTGGGTTGTCATACAAAAGCAGCGCCTTTTATATCAGCGAGTTATTTTGACGGAATGGCCGATGTCCGATATTTAACTTTATCGCTAATATCGTCCGATACGATACCATGCCGATAATATCGTGCATCCCTATAGTGGAGACCTCATTTCTTTTTACTTCAGAGCAGAAAACACAGTGTAGACGGTGACAAAGGGTAAAACTGAGCTCTTCTTTTGTAACTTTTTTAGGATTTTTTTTTCCAGAATCAAGGGTTCAAAAGGTTAATAATAGACAAGCGTTGTCATTTTGTGCGCGGCAGCTGTTTAAATGTGGGTGGAGTGCAGCGGAGCGTTCAGTTGGATGGGGGTTAGAGAGGAAATGTAAATGTGTAGCTCCATTTATGAGCAGCGGTCACGCCTGTCTGTGCTACTGAAGCTCCACTAAATGAGAATGAATTGTCAAGTTAAAAATAGTATGTTTAATCAAGAGGGACACATTCTGCGTTGGCCTTTGTCTTCGAGCTCATTCATGCTAAACGACCGTCTGTACAACGACCAGACAACTTTGAAAAGCTCTGACAGGTTAAGTGAAACACTCGAAGGTCTTCCAAAGTTTTTAGACGCTTCTTTAAAACTAATTTCAGTTCTGCGCCTGAACATTTTCAGAGGAAAGTTTTTTTTATTTTTTTATTGTTAAAGCCAATTAATTCTGACCTGTGAATTATTCCAGCATAAGTTTAAGTGACGAACCAGCGTTGCGACAAACACAACGCACAGCAAAGAACCATTTTTAAATTAGTTTTCTTTCAAAGCACTTTGCTACCAGCAGTCTGTCACAAATATACAATTAATTTATGTTTTAGCTTAATCTACAACAAAATACAAACATGATTTAACAGACATAAAACACAGGAGCACGGACACGAGAGCTAAAGCTAATTAGTGCTGTTTAGAGCAAATAAATTATGTTGAATCAAATTTTATTAAAGTTTAGAGATTAACAAAAGCGTAACAGTTGTTTTTGTTGTGATATGGTTTTATTAACACTTTTCAAAATATCCATCATTATAATATAGTTTCCTGACGGTAATTTATTCAGATAAATAATGGATTTATTGTTAAAATAGTTGGCTAGGAGATTGTGAGCCATATGCTTTATGAGTTTTCCATTTCTGTAATTTATTGTAAACATAAATAGTCTATTGATAGATTTATTTCTGCATATTGGTCAGTTGTGGCACTTATTCTTGAATTTTTCTAATTTACCGTATTTTTTGGACTCTAAGGCGCACCGGATTATAAGGCGCGAAAAGCGAAACTAAAACATTTTGACGGATTTTTGAGCGCGGTTTAACACATAAAATCGGTTCGAGGTCCGTAAGCACAACCAGAATTAATACATGAGGCGCACTGGATTATAAGTCTCACTGTTGATTTTTGAGAATATTAAAGCATGCCTTATAGTCTAATAAATATGGTAGATGATGTCATTGTGCTTTTCAATTTGCGGTGAGGTCCTCATTTATACCAGTCATCATGCAAAGTTATGTGACAGTGGTGTGGTGGACCCAGATACAGACATCTATTATGCCATAAAAGACAGAATAAGGCAAACAATTAAATAAATAATTAAATAAAGTAAAGAAACTGCCCAAGTAGGAGATCCCAGGAGGCTGTAGCAAAAACCTAAGATGAACACCGGCAGAAGGAGGATCTGACAACCTCGACCTGCTGAGTCTGACTGAGAGACGAGATGGACAACTGGACAGAGGACATGATTAGGAATCAGGGCTCAAAACTGAGACAAAACTGGAGACAGTCGTAAGAAAATAAAAAAATATATATATACAGAGACCATAAAACTTAAAGCTCATGACCTAGTTAGAGGGACATCTTTATATTTGTGGGCTGTAAATAAGTTGCAGTATTTGGGTCAGAGATGAGTCTGCCTAAAAATACATGAAACCTGACTCCATTGATCTGTTTTGTTCGTGTTGTGAACTCTCGGTGATTGAGTTTGAAAAAAAAAAAAGTCCTCTGAGATGAACCGAGATGGATCAATGAGTTCAAATGAATTGCAGAAGTAAAACGTACCTGTAGACTGATGGGGGTGGAGAGGTGATGGGAATATTGAGAGACTATTCATCCTTGAAAAGTTTTCTACGTTAAAATTCCCTTTTTCCCTTAGGAGACGTGTCTGCAGGAGGAAACTCCCAAGGCAAAGCAAGACTTGTCACCTATAAGGATTAAAGTGGTGGGTGATGTATTTTATTTTGATATAGAATCAAATACAACCATGAGTGTCATTTTTTGGTTCTGCTTCGACAACTATAAGTTTGATAAAGTGAAAACGTGAAGTACGCAATGGTTTGCAAATCTCATAAACCCATATTTGATCCATAATGGAATATATTTAATGTTTCAATTAAGTTTTACAAAAAAAAATGTAAATACAAATAAAGAAAGAGCAGCAACACTTTTTTAAAAAGTGACTGTAAAAGTAAGTGAATTAAGAAACAGCTTGTTGAACATTTTGCAACTACCGTATTTTCCGGCGTATAAGTCGCTGTTTTTTTTATTTATTATTTTTTACATAGATTTGTCTTTCCTGCGACTTATATATATTTTTTTCCATATTCATAACGCAATTTTTGAGTGACGATTTAAATTTTGAAGAACTGCAACAGCAAGTCGTCCCGTGCGCCTTTGTTTCACTCAGCTGGTGCAGGTGGAGGAACGCTGGAGCGATAACGGCTCCAGCCGTGTTGGTTGGTTGGCTGGCTAAATGAAGAAGTTTTGACCATTAAATAAATGCGATTTTTACGCCAAAACGATTTATTTATGTTTTTTCCTCTTCATGATGCTTTTTTTCGACTGATGTGACTCATACTGCGGAGCGACTTATATGCCAGAAAATACGGTAATTGGGTTAATTATCAACAGGTCAGTAAGAGGACTGAGTGGCAGATAAGTCATTTAGAAATCGAATCTCTCAGCATTAATAACGAGTGGTTCACCAAGTTGTAAAAAATTGTTTAAAAAAGTCATTCACCAAAAAATTAGGACAACTTTGAACATCACATTATCTGTTCTTAATATTTTACAAATTTTAAAGAGTCTGGAGAAATCTCTGCGCTTATATGACAAAGCTAAAGGTCAATATTTGATGACCTTCAGGCCCTCAGGGGCCACTGCATTTAACCTGGTCTGGTTCTGTTCTGGACATCACTGCATGTGCTTAGGAACACTTTTATTAATCATTGTCTGTGAACACAGTTCAACGTGCCATCCACAAAACGCTGCTTAAAGCTCTATCACACAAAAAAGAAGCCATGTGTGAACAACATCTTGAAACGTGACAGTCTTCTCTGGACCAAAGCTCTTTTAAAATGGACTGAGGCAAAGTGTAAAACTGTTCTGTGGTCAGATGAATCAAAATGTATAAATCTCTTTGGAAACCACAATCCACGTCCTCCTTATTAAAGATGAGTGAAACCACTCAGCCTAGAGTTGCATTCAGGCCTAAAAATATCAGACTCAGCCAGAACCGTATCATTTTTTTCAAGCCCGACCCAAAACTGACCGCTTAAGCTATAAGAGTTCTTATTTATTAACAAGAGTCTGCGTATTATTATAGTTATAATTTTATAGTTATTAACGATCGTCGGCCGTGCAGTCCGCTGACGCAGTGGCTGAGTCCATTTAAGGTTAAGGTGGGTCGCTGGCAGTGCTCCATCTGCACTTTTTTTAAACCCCTTTCAACCGTCCGGTTAGTGCATGGTCAGCCGGACGCATTGGATCACCAGCCGCACGCGACGGCTTACGCAATCAAAAGCCCGACCCGACCAATCCAGCACATTCTTATAGCTCGGGTTAGAAATGACAGCTCTAACCCAGCCTGCCTCTCTGATGGTATGGAGGTGCATTAGTTCTTTTGGAATGGACAGTTTACACATCTAAAAATACACCATGATTACAAAAAAAGTATATACAGGTTTTCAGATGTCATCCAGGAGCAAAGACGTGTATCATATTTTAACAAGACATTGATGAAGCACATCGACTAGCAGAAGTGACCTGCAGTCAGATATAATCGACTGAAACAAATATGAATACATTTAAACTGATATACGATTTTACAGAAAAACACATGACTTTAACATGTTTTTGTGTTAATCACACGTGGGATTAAATTAAAAAGAATAAAGTATTAAAATACGTTGTTGTCATTGTGCAAGTATGTTTAAGATGGGATCACATGATTTACATGGTATATGTTCCAAAAATGTGTTCATGTCACATGTGAAAATCACATTTTCACGTACAATCCATGTGATTTTTATGCATTTTTGAACATTTCAAATTCTGTTTTTCTGTACATTTTCTAGTAACTTTCGAACCTGTTCAGAATTGGGGTTGTACATTTTCACGCAAACTTGATTTCTTTTTTGTTTCCCACCTTCCAGGGCTCTTGTGATTCTGAAGCGCGCCTCATATCCTTAATGTACATCACGCTCCCTTGTCTGTTAAATGTGTGCGTGACGCACCGAAGCACCTGCTTCCACCAAGAACTGCTAAGAAGTGGAAGAAACGACGGTTTCCCTCAGAGGAAAATATGCAATCACATGAGCACAACAAATACCAGGAACAGTTTAAGTTTGGGGAAAACCAGCAGAATAAAAATTAATTCTCGCTAATCGATTAGCTCACACATGTCATCTGCTGGTTTAGAAAGTGAATATTAGATAAATGAACAAGCTAACAGAAGAAAGACTGCATTCAGTCACTTCCTGACGTGGGTTGAATGATCATGCGGTGTAAAAACTTGGAGGCATCTTATCTGAACAGAGCTCCTAACATGAATCACCCATAACATCCAATTTTCTCAGCTTTATTCACCACTTTGTTGGCTTTAGTGGAGTAGCACCGATCTGCCAAAGCACAAAGTTCAGGAGGATAAGCTAAAGGCAATCTCTTGATTAAAACCACTGCACGGGAGATTTGAGGAAATTGAAAACGCAGAGTAATATAGTGTGTCAGTCTGAACGTTTTAAAGGGTCGTCTGGTCATTTTTAAAGTTCGTTATGCTCTGATGTTTGACTTATGTCACAGCTGATATAGTAGATTGTTTTAAAAATGACCAGGCTATCCCCTTAAGCTTCAATAATTACTGTATGTTCTTTAAAAAAAAAAAAAAAAAACACACAGGAGCAGCAAAACAAGCTTAGAAACATCCCTTTTTAAAGTTGTATGAACAAATGGTTAGCTGGCATAAAGCAGCATCTGATTCAGCCGATAAATGGCTTCTTTATGTTTCCATGTTACTTGTGTTGTCTTCCAGCGGTTTTTATTTTTATTATTTATCATTTTGGCTGTTGGGGGAGCTGTTTTTGCCGAAAAATAGTGCTGAAGTATAACCTTGAGCAAAAATACCACAGTGTCATGGTTTCACGGTGTTAAACCAAACGTTTTAGAGCGTCTTGTGATTTTATTAAAAAAACAGTTATAACTCGTGCCGTTACTGGTCCCAAAATAACGTCACATGTTAATTTTGTTTGTGCCCATTGCAATGAAAGAAAGGCAATCATGAATTGCCTTTGTGTATGTGTGTGTTTGTGTGTGTTTGTGTGATCGTGACTTTGTCTGTCCATTAGCACAATATCACGTAATCCAGAGGATGGATTATAATAATACTTGCAAAATTTAATCATTGGATGTGTATTTTCAATTAATAACTTTTTGGAATCAACTTGATTCAAGATGGCAAACACGGCTAATTAACCCTTGTATCGTCTTTTGGTGAAAAAAAAAAATCAGCCACACATTTACTTTTGTCTGTGATTTTATTTATTTATTTATTTTGGTGCTGTCAATAAGCATGATTTTTTTCTGACAAAGCCTAAAAATCTTACTACCGTTCTTGCCGTCGAACACGTCGCACTGCCGTAAGAGTCGCATCAGTCCAAATATGTATAATAAAGTGGGAAAAAACATAAATAAGTAGCTTTGCTGTGCAAGTCACACTTATATAGTGCATATATACATACATTTATATATATATACCTTTACAGAATAAAATTGTCACAAAATGAAACTCCATTATTAAATAAATGAATAAATCTTGAAATGCATAAAAATAAATCTTGAAATAACAAAAAAAATAAATCTTGAAATAAATAATAAATAAATCTGGGGGAAAAAAACAACATTTTCTATTTAAATGTTTTATTTCATGGGAACATTTATTTATTTCATGGAATATTTATTGATACATTTTAAATAACACTATTTATTCATTTATTTAATTTTGAATGAAATGGCTCTCCATAGCATCAACAACGCGACCTGTCAATCAATCCAGTAGGCGTGTCAGCCAATGGCCAATCCGAAACTACATGAGTCGTAATATTATCCGAGCTCCATGATAAAGCAGGGTTTACCACATTTTAACTGTGATAAAATGAAAAATGTTGCAGCACAGCTCCTTGCAGGTAAGGAGCATTTAGCTTTGGATTGGTCATTCGCTGGCATGCCTATGGTACTAGATTGATTGACAGGTCACATCATGGATCCAACTCGCGGGCAAAAATATAAGTAAGGGAGAGGTGAAAAAAAAAAGTCTCGTATGACTTTTTATTCTCGTAATATTAAGACTTTATTTGACTTTATTCTCATGATACTATGACTTTATTCTCGTAATTTTATGGCTTTATTATTTTTTTTATTAGCGTGGCCCTAAAGCTCTGTCGTACTTCTGAGACCAGGAAAAATCCCAAAACAGTGGAGGAAAAATTTTATCAGCTGACTGACAGCCCGCAGAAATCATTGGGGAGTGCAATAACTATTTAATCTCTGGCTAACCTAAGAGTTCGGTAAAAGTACTTTAAGCTGCAGAAACAGTAAAAGAGAAAATGTTACGTACCTTAAACCCATATACCGGGTCTTTGTGCTGACTGTTAATTTCTTGTCTCCTCAGCAGAGTGTAGAACCTCCGGGCCTTTCCAAGCCGAATCTACTCTCAGGCTGCCTGTGGCGCAAACGCCCCAAAACAGGACCGGTGGAAAACTTGGTGCTGCCCCCAGTGGACACGCACAACTACTGCAGCATCAGCCACGCCTCCTGTGGCCGCACAGAGCTGGATCTGGAGCAGGAGCGAGGGGAGCGGGATGGACAGGACAACAACCAGGCCGAACATCCTCCTGTCAGGATGGGCTGCGAGGTGATGGACCTGTCAAACGGACGGACGCACACGGCGCTGCGGCCGATGTCTCTTTCACACATCAATCCACGATTCAGAACCCTGCACGCACGAGAGAAAAAGGCTACACAGATGTTGGCCATCGTGCTTGGTGAGTGGAGGCAGCTCATTCCGATGGAATAAGCTGGGAAAATGAAAATGGAAATGTCACAGAGACGCATAAAAGAGGAAATGTTATGCAAATTTCATATGATCGAGTTGCTGCAGGTGGTTTAATAGAATCAACCGAGTTCTTCAATCCACTTCAGCTACCTTCACATTTTACATATGACCTTTTGGCCTCATGTACCTGCTCTCTTTTGGACATGATACCACAGCTGCATTTGCCTAATCTGTGTGCATTAGGGGTAGATCTTGCAGAAATATATTTTAAAAAGCTGAATTGTCAAAAAGAAGCCTAGCAGACTGCAGGTCCACAATGTGTGTGTGAGGACGCACACTGCAGCTCCTGACATGGTTTCCATATGCTCCACTAATCAGCCATGTTACTTCAGGCCTGGTCCAGTTATTTCTGGTGCTGCAAATATTGGACAAAACTTTAATCAAGAGGTGTCTCATTATATTACACTGGTGTCAATGAAAAGAGGCATATACACACACACACACAGAGGATGGTCTCAGTCCAGCCAGTTTCCCATCTGTTTTTTCAGGTGATTCTTCTCTTCAGATTGCAGCTACAGGGTTTGAATTTCTGCTGCACTGCAGGAGTGCGCTGTGATACTTAACTAGGGAAATTGCATTTCCTGTGAAAATGCAGTGTGAATGCTCGTTGTAGGTGAACTTGATGAAAAACAGCTGAAACTAGCAAAAAAATTGAAATGTAGCTGAAATGGAAGAACAAGCCTAAATTAGCAGAATAAAGCAGCAGAAATAACACATATTTGCTAAATTAGGTTTAAATAAACAGAAATTAGCACAAAAATTAGGGAAATGGCTAAAAAAAGAAGCTGAAATTAACAAAAATAACTGAAAAGTAGCTGGATAGGCAGAAAGAAGCTTAAACTACCAGAAGGAAGCAGAAATAATGAAAATAAGCTTAAAAAATGTGGAATTAGCTGAAAAAGCTAAAATTAGCCTCAAAATAGCTAAATAGCTGCAAGAGCAGAAAAAGCTGAAACTAGCAGAAAAATGCTGAAAGGAGCATAACAAGCCGAAATTAGAATAAAGAGGTTAATTAAACTGAAAATAGCAGAAAATAACATGAAAAACTTGAATATATCTGAAAACGGCAAAAATTAGCTAAAAAACGCAAAAAAAATCTAGCTGAAAAGTTAGAGCAAGCTTAAATTAGCAGAAGAAAACAGAAATAACACATTTGCCCTATTAGGCTTAAAGAAGAAGAAATGAGCAAGAAGTGGATCTTATCTGGAAAAAAAGCTGAAATTAGCAACATTAAAAAAAACAACTGAAAACTAGCTAAAAAAGCTGAAATTAGCAGAAAGAAGTTAGAAGAAACACAAAAATGTTGTCATTAGCAGAAATAATCTGAAAAGAGCACAAAACGGATGAAACAGCTGAAAAAACACCTGAAAGTATCTGTAGCTGAAAAAGTTAAAATTTGCAGAAGGAAGCTGAAAGAAGCTGAAGCAGAACAAAATGTGAAAGGAGCAGTGAAAGGTTGTAAACACATCTAAAGATTTGAAGGATGTAAAATGAGCTCAATTCATTTCCTATGAGGAAAAAAATGGCAGAAAAGGCTAAATATTTCAAAAAGCTAAAATTGCACCAATACCAAAAGTCACCCTTCTCCTGAATGAGCTGAACGCTTTGATTTATGATTTGTTGAAGTAGCACAAAGATTGTGGGACAAGAAAGATGCCGAAAAACGTCACTCGTACAGAAGAAAAATGGATCACGATATGCTTCATTAACATTCACACTGTTCTATATCAAAATCAATATCTCAAACAAAATAGTAGTTTAAAATGTTTTTTTTATTTTTTATTTTTCATCAACTATCATTACTATTTGTTTTATTTACACTGAACGGTTCAACATTTTTGTTTTAATCGAGACTTTAGTTAAAAATAGGATTTAAAGCTTTAATGACCATCTTGAATCAAGTCAACTCCAAAGTTCATCATTTGATGTACAGTGATTAAGGTCTTTGTTAAAAGTGGTTCACGAGTTATTTTGCTAACAGACAGGCCACTGAGCACCTTCACGTGCACGCAGGGTATGTGTTTGAACTTGCCAATCTATTTTAGCCCAACTAAAATAATTTGTTATGTAAATTGTTTAGTTAGGTTTATTTGAATTGTTTAATTGATTAAACTGCTTAGGGTAGTTGTTTCAATCTGTGACGTTATTTTAGCTCAGTTCAGTGTTTGATCTTTCAAATGATATTTAATAACTGACTGAACATGTCTGTGAACTTAAATTTAGATTTTAACATTTAACGAGCATGGCTTGTTTTAATGACTTTCTCATGAGACAATAGGTGTGATATTTAAAATGAGATGCTTAAAATCAGTATTCTTTGAATGGTCAAAAGGAATCCTTAACTTCCTAGAAATAAATGTAAAAACTATTTTAAATACTGAAAAAACAATCACATAAAGATGGGCATAAAATGGCTTCCTAGATGAGAACGAATGAGCACCAAACTGCTGATAACATAAACATTATGATTATGATCATATACTTACTTTACTAAATCAGTTACTATGAAGCTAAGACATTTTTAACTAATTAATTTAATTTTGTCACAATTTCAAACATACACAAAATAAATGAATTATCCAGCTGTCTGTCCCACACTGAAGTGAGCTTACACAAAAGAAGTTAACATGACAGAACCAAAGGTGGTGTGGAATCCAACTCACCAGCAAGGAGAACTAAAGCTGGAATATACTCTGTGAGAAGTGAAGAAATCAGCTCTCTTTATCGTGAGATGTTCTTTTCAGCAAGGATATTTTATACTCTTGTTAAAACCCCTCTGCTAAGTCACACCCTCTTCAGCGCTCAGTTGTTGGACACCAACAGGGCTTAATTTGTAAACCAATAGATGCTGGAATGCAAATAGTGGGCGGGCCGACTGAGAGGGGCAGAGCATATTGGGGTCCTCCCCCAGAAAATTTTGAGTAGATGCGATTGCATTTTGGTGTATTTTAACGAGTTATTAATCATATATGTTTACCTACATTTGTAAACACTCCGCTTCTGTCAAGCATCCTACCCCGTCCTCCCCCTTACTGGATGGTTCCAAGCTGACTCTTCTGGATTCACTGTCCGACTCCACATGTGAACCTCCAAGCGCCTCCTCTGTCTGTTCATTTCTGCTGCCTGTGGGCTCCTGCCCGCGTACGACTGCCTGGTTAGCTCAACACCCACCTCCACCACTCTTTTAGGGGCGGAGATTTTTTTAAGTGTAGAATGCTGCTTGAAGAGGCAGACCGTATGTGGTATTAAGAAGTTGTAAGTGGCTGTTGTGTTTAAAATTAGTGTTTATGTAATTATTTTCAGTTAAAAAAAAAAAAAAGAAACCATCCAAATGATCTGACTAAACTTTGTTGGATTTTATATCTGGATTAGTGAACATGAACTTTGATATTTTCAGTTTACATATCCAATTTTTTTTTTCATTTACCCTTTATTTATACAGGTAGTCTCATTGAGCCACGAGAACTTATTTTCAAGAGAGACCTGTTTAGGGAGCAGATGGGGGTTAAGGGCCTTGCTCATGGGCCCAGAGTGGGGCAAATGAGGGTGGGGGCAGGTGTGGGTGCTTCACCTACCCCACCCACATTTTTGATGTTGTCGGTACCGGGGCTTGAACCGACAATCTTCTGATTACAGGCCCACCTTCTCTAACCTCTGCGCCACCACTTCCCCTAATATAAGTTTTATTCATTCAAGGCAGCCATATTTGTTCATATCTTTATTATTAGTACGCCTGAGAGTTACAGGATCCAAGCAAACAGTTACCGGAACGCACCCTGTCGAAATTAACGAGTTCCCGGATCCTGTTCCAGCAGGATCCGGCTCAAATTAAGCTCTGGACACCAATAGAAACACATCAACTGCATGACGTGGAAATACGTTTGTTTTGTGTTTCACTACGACATCCACAGAGGCGGAAGTCTTTCATTTGATGGAGAACATCTTATTTCAGGACGATGGCCATTCAGTTTATTTTTGACGATTGTTTAGCCCAAAAATCGCGTCATTTTTATTTTGTGACTGCGTCAGAGAGAGCAGCATTTCTTCAGTTTATGCAATAAATCTAGCTTAACACTGCACAAAAAATGTGTGATGGACTCATTTTGGATCCCACACAAGTGGTTTGTAATTACATCACCTTCTAGGCAGAGCTTCTCATTTCATTTTACAAGGCTCTGTCAACTCTGGTGGCTCAGAGGCGTAACAGTGACAGGTTAAGTTCAACTCTAGATGCCACCTCATCCATCGCACCAAAACAGTAAGAAGTCATATCATGCTTAAAGTGCAGGTCTAAAAACTGAACTGTCACTGTTTGTAAGGTGTAGCTATAGAGATGGCCGCATGGTTCAGTTGGGCGTGCAGTGTGTATTTGTGGTTGTGAAATTTTTCATGACCCTAAACACCCATATAAAAATACTATATTACCAAATCTTTGCAATGAAATGCACACTGGCAATGCATGTTGTCTTGTCAGAGTATAGACATTAACAACATTCTGTACATTTACAGACAATATCTATAAAATTGCCACCATAGAGCTGCTCTGCTCACTTTTTATTTTCCACTTTAATCACAATCATATAGAGCGTCCAGTACATTGTTCACATCCTCTTTATTTATCACTGAAGAAAAGGTTATAAAATAACATTCAGCAGATACTCAGTGGCAATGGGGTGGTTTGACAAAACCATATGCATAATTTATTGATTGAGAAGATGGTGCATGAGCTTACTACCTTCTCATCGGTGAGAAAAGCTTTAATTAAACATGAATATTGCCACATAAAATCATTATCAGAATGGTAATCAGACACTTCTGCACATTAAATCAGGAGATTGTCGCTCACAATCAACAGAATACACCATCTTCTTCCAAAGCTTGGAGAGTTTCCTACCTTAAAAACAAGGACTTTAATCATCTGAATCCTCAGGTTTTCATGCAGTGAAACAAAAAAACATCCACACTGGAGATCGGTGAGTAAGTTCCTCGAGTTACGAGCTTCACTATCTATTTTTAACGGCAATGTAAAGCCAAGAAAATTACAACAAACCGCACAGCACTGATAATTATTGAGTAGATTGGGGAGCCTTATTAATTTGCAGCTGTGATGGCTATTATTATTGCTTTAATTGAGCAGTAATTATATTGATGGATACAAAAAAAAAACGAAGCCTGAAGTCTGAACGTGAAAAACACTATTTATGAACAAAAAGAAAAAAAAAACAGAATTATTCGTAGCTTCTCGACTGTTCACACATTTTGCTCTTTGGGTGTAACCTTTCTGGTACAGGATACTAATTAGTTGTAATGAAATAACCCCGGTACGCATTTTTTCTTCCTCTGCTTATTGACATCGATGTATCGCTTGTTTACATTGTTTTGAAATTCAGTTTTCTCTGGAAAAACAAAACTATTAATTTATAAAGAAGTTTTAAAGCATTTGCAAGCATGCACAATAACCGTGCTGGTTGATACAGGTCACCAAATTTACCAATTTTATTAACATCAAACTATCAAACAACACTAACGAAACAGGCTTTTGTTTAGTTGGTTCTTTAGTTGTGTACATGGACGTGCATCTCCTCTGACATCCATCATGGGGTGCTGCAGCACTCTGCGCACCCCTACTTTCATCAGCCTTAGCTGTAGCTTAGTTGTTGTTATATTTCGTTTTTACAAAGTTGTTTTGAACCCCACCTCCACTTTCCATTCTCTTTTGCTCCTAAATGATTATCAGTGTAAAACTTAAGAATGTAAAACACAAACTGTCACGGTCAGCGGCCCCCGCTGCCCCCCCATCTGCCTAAGCCTCTGCTCTTTGTGTGGTTTCTGTTTCTGTGTCCTAAGCCTCTGCTCTTTGTGTGGTTTCTGTTTCTGTGTATCTGGTCCTGTTTTCCACTCACTCCTCAGTCTGCCTCTCCACTCCTCAGTTTTTATCATTCACTCCTCAGTCTGCCTCTCCACTCCTGTCACGGTCAGCGGCCCCCGCTGCCCCCCCATCTGCCTAAGCCTCTGCTCTTTGTGTGTTTTCTGTTTTTGTGTATCTGGTCCTGTTTTCCACTCACTCCTCAGTCTGCCTCTCCACTCCTCAGTCTTTATCATTCACACCTGTCCCTCATCAGCCACCTGCCCAGGTGCTCTCATTACTCACTCTCCCTCTGCCTTATAAAAAGCCTTTTTCTCCTTCACTCCTTGTCCGGTCATTGTTCTGTGTTTACAGACATCTCAGTCCTCTTCTGTCTTGTCTGTTTCTTGTCCACCTGATTATCTGCTCTGCCTTGTTTCTGATCCTGTCTGCCCAAGTAAGTTTTGCTGCACCGACAGCCTTTTGTTTTGTTATTAAAAAAATTAATTATTTTTATTTTTAAACTCCTGCCTCGCTCGCCTCTCTGCAATTGGGTTCCAACACTGAGGATTGTGACACAAACAGTATATTGCAACATAGAGTATATTTGTACAGTAACTGTGCAATGTTGAATGCAAATACATCATGGAAAGTACTGTATGAAGGGCTGTCTACATGATAACACTTTTTATGCCTTAAAATTGCTTCTTTTGCGTTTTTTCATGTAGACAGCCAAAACACAACTTTTTGAAAACAATCATGTTTAATCATTTCTTCCAGTCTAACCTACATACGAGCCTCGGCTTCCCTTTTCTTCATGTTGTGCTTACATTTTGCACACGGTGGCTTTCTGCACATTCCCCGCTTTGTTTTTGGTACTACGGTGTTTTGAGTCGTGTATGGTGTTCCTGTGTGGATGAAGACATTTTTAAAAACAATGCTCTGTTTGCGAGAATGCTTTAAGAAAAGATCAAACAAAAGTTCATTTTGGAAACACTACAATTCAATGAGGACAAGGTCTAATATGTGTGGTTAAAAAGGGGCCACCTCAGCGTTGAACATCCGCTGATGGGTAACACCAGAATACTCATGTTGGCATGAGGACGCAAAACGCACATACAAACAAAAAATAAATGAAAAAGCACAACACAGAACAAAACCCTTTCAAAAACACAAATCAAATATCCAACAATTCTCAGTCAGGTCATCTGGATGGTTTTTTTATTTTTTTGCTGAGACGTTTCGTCCTTCATCCAAAGGACTTCTTCAGTCCAGGAGATTGAACATTGTTGGACTTGTACCTGGATTATTGCTTATGAATTTAGGTGTTTTAAATAATTTTGGCATGACTGCCTCGGAGGAGTTGACGGGGGAGAGGGCGGGCCCCAGAAATCACCTCATCACCATTTCCACTATGGGAGTGTGGTATTTGTGGGACTCCAGTTTGTTTGTGCCTCCTCGGACTGAAGAAGTCCTTTGGATGAAGGATGAAATGTCTCAGAAAAAAAAAAAAAAAAGAAACCGTCCAGATGATCTGACTGAACATTGTTGGATTTGTACCTGGATTATTGAGCATGGACTTTGGTGTTAGTCAAACGTTAACATTTGATTGTGCTACAAATTGTAAAATGTGTTTAAACAGTTTTTTTTATTGCTGCTTGTTTGAGTCTTTTCTAATGTTTTTAAAAAGGTATTGTTTCGTGTTAGATGTTTCTGTGTTCACGTAATTGAAAAGCAGTACTTTAGTAATCGGTGAAGACACAAACTTAACCTTGTCTCTTTTTTCTCTCTTTCTTTTGTCTCTTCACTTTTTTTCAAATCCCCCAAAACTGATTCGATATTCATGTTTTTCCATCTGCTCTATTTTTTTTTCACCACCTTGTCCTCTTTCCATCCTGAATTCCCCATTGTCCTTCCATACGGCTCTGCTGTCTTCCTGCTTCAGGGGTGTTTCTCATCTGCTGGCTGCCTTTTTTTGTGACTCACATTCTGAACACCCACTGCAGGACATGCTACGTGCCTCCTGAACTTTACAGCGCTTTCACCTGGTTGGGGTATGTCAACAGTGCCCTTAACCCCGTCATCTACACCACCTTCAACATCGAGTTCAGACGGGCCTTCATCAAAATCCTCAGCTGCTGAGAGGAGAACATGTCAGGAGATTAAAATGGAAATGAATGAGGCTGTGCGCTCGCGCAGTAACTCAAGCGTGGCGTGTTTTGCAAACCGTGACCCCAGATGCACACCGGTGAATGGAAGCAAACAGCAACCGGCAAGGTGAGGTCTCTGAATAAAGGATGCGGGGAGCAATAAATGCAACTACAATGGATTTTTATTTCCCGACTCCAGTGATGACTCAGATCGTTCTGTTTAATAAAGCTGGATTTGAACAGTATTATTCCTTAAACAAAACTTTTAACATCCACACAGTACAGCACAAGGTGGGTTTTTATTTCTTTTGTTTTTTTAGAAAATGCATTGTATATTACTGGTATTACTCATTGGCACGGTTGATGAATTCAGGACTTTCAGGTCAATATGAGTTTAAAGGCTCTTTGGAGCCCAAATGGAGCTTTAAGGCTGTTAAAAGGATGTGTGGGCCACTTCATCCGAAGGCCCTCTGCCTCCGCACCGAGTGGATTAACAGATGATATTCACCTCCTCCGCTCGCCCCTCCTTCATCACTCCGACCTTCAGGTACTCGCCAGCGCATGTACAAATCAGAAAAATCCCAGCTGTGCTGAAAACATGTTCAGAGGACTGCGTTGGTGCCTGCCGAGGCTCAAATCATTCTGAAGATTGTCATACGTATTGATGTGCAGGCATTGTACTCGGTGTGGATTCATCAGAAATAAAAATTTGTAAAAACACTTTCATTGATTGTTGGGAGGGCGGGGGGATTGTTATTGGCAATCTTTACTGTGATTTAGAGCTGCTTGCTGGCTGCTCTTAGAGAAAAAAAAAGTTTTTTTTTTTAATATATTAAAGTAATAATTCAAATCTTCTGAACATTTTTTTCTGAACTGCATAAACAAAAAGTATCTTACCTGTTGTAGATGATTCTTTGAACGGCCCCAGTTTGAACAATTTATTTCTGCCTAGACTATTGAGCTAACAAGTTAAAGTAGAGCTGTGTTCTAAGTAGACTGCTGCCTTCTTAACATAGCTCCGTCCTTCAACTTTTCTCAGCAGCTTTTGCAAACCCTGTTTTTTAAAGGTTTACATGGCCGTCAAATTTGGTTGTTCTGGAAAAAATATGATACTCGTGCAGGAATAGAGTTGCATTCAGGCTCAAAAAAATCCAACCTGATCTGGCTCCAGCCCGTAGCCATCATTTCCGAACTCGACTTGACCCTACGAATTAACAGTAATTACAGGTCCGAACCCGAACCCAAACCCTCCACTGCTTATATAGTTCTTAACGGTTGACAGACGTGCGCGGCCTGCATTCTGCATTATTCAGACATGGACCCTGCTTTGACATGTTGGATATTTTGTGATCTCACCTGTTTGGGTCATCGGCCACATGCGTCCGCTGAGTGCAGCAGCTGAATGAACGTCCATCTGGGCGTCCATTCTAGTCCACCTGAAGCTTAACTGAACTTTTTATCTCTTTCAAGGCCGGTCAGCGTGCGGTCAAATGGTTGCGTTCGACAGGTGATAGTATGGCAAGCAACGTTACCATATAATTGGATCATCAGGCAATTGTGTTCGCTGACGCAATCAAAAGCCCGATCCGGCCTGCACATTAACACATTAATATAGCCCGGCTGTAATCCAGGTCGGGCGGGGCCGGGCTATGGGTTCAGGTTAGAAATGACAGCTCTATACATGAAGGGCCCAGGCTGAATAGAATCTACTACAGCTAATATCTGCTACTATTTGCACTTGCAGAAAACAAAAGAAATCCACGTAAATAATCATTTAATACAAAACTAATAGTGGCGTAAAGGTTTGTATAATTTGCATGAAACTTTATGAATGTTTTGGGATTGGAATTGTTTTAAGATCGTAGTAATACACTTTGCCACTCAGTTTAATGATTAGCTTGTCAATCGGGTGACAATTAAACTCCATTTCTCGAAAACTGAGGTTGTCAAAGGGTTATTTACAACAGGTAAGATATATTTTTTCTTGTTTTTAGTTTATTTGACAGGGACAATGTACACAAACATAGAACATAACAAGTCTGTGACATGCGTTGCACAAAGAGTATGTAGCTATAGCTAATTCACAACTCCAGTCCCTGGTTGGGCATTTCTACGCAGTAATGCAATTTATCAATCAAAATATAGTAAGAATACATATGTATTCATGCCTACATATTCATGTAGTCAACCTTACAACTTCCAAGTTCATATAATAAAAACTATACATTAAAATACGAACAATTTATAAATGTAAATGCAATAAAAATACAAAACATTTTCCACTCTACAAATTCCAAAATAACCTTGCAACCTCCAAATTTATATTAATATCCTTACACATCCTCAATACCTCCCCATCCACACTCATTCAGCTAACAAACTAAAAATTGTAAAAATAATACTAACTCATTAATGCATACACAGACTTTCTCATCCATAAAATCTGAGTATTAAAAATGATCACATCTTTGATTTTCCTTTAGCCAAGAGTCATGTAAACAAACATTTTAAGTTCAGGTGTAGCTTGGGGGCAATTAGTTCCATAATGTTGTGCTTTTATATGAAAAAGTGGTCTGACCAAACAAGGTTATACATAGGGGAGTTATGCAATTCTTTTCTAATGATCCTCTAGTGACTCTGTAACTGTTTTGCTTCTGTATAAATGAGCTCAATGGGTCAGGAGCTAACTTACTGATGCACTTAAAAATTAATTTAAGAAAACATATATTATAAAAGCTTTCAAAACTCATTAAGTTATGTTTGTCCAGGATTAGACAGCGATGCGATCTTCAAATCGTCATAAAATAAAATAAAAACTCATACTTGTGCTTTGTAAATAAATAAAAATGAATATTTTCCATGTGAAATTCATTAAAATAGTCTTACAGACTTCACTAGAGTCTTGGTTTCCTGCAAAGCCCACAGACGTTAGGATCAACAAGATACTGCGGAGACTGAGCCACAGGAAGAAAATGAAAATATGAAAACAGTCGAGCAGAGAACAAGCTGAGGCAGGCTGGGTGAGCTAAGTGTGCTAAGATAAAAAGGACAGAAACGAGGAGAACGAGTTCAAAAACGACTGTAGAAGGGAGAGGATGAAGATAGGTTGTGGATGGTTGTAGAATAATAAAAAACATGTAGCTTGTCCCTCTCTGGGCGTTTTATTTCTCTGAGACGCAAACACCTGCTCCCCTGACACTCTGTGCCTGTTGACTCAGCCTTGTTCCACTGAAAGTGCTTATGATAGTGACACACCTTATGTAATATATGTGTTAGTGTGTGCGTGTGAGTGCAGGCTTTTTAATGGATGCACAACGTGATGCGAGAGGAACGTTCTGGTTGTGATCGTCTTAACGTAAATATCAATAGTACATCGCACTGATTTATGTTCCCCTCTATTAAAAACTCTGTCATGCAGCTGAAATCAATACATAAGCCATAGCAGGGAATTGAATAAGTGTATATTTCAGGGGCGTAATCCAAACATAAAGCAAACGGAGATAAAGGATTTGCTGTTTTAATATGCATTAGTTCAGCTTAGGTGGATTTTATGGTATTGATCATTTGCTTTCATGTAGATTTTTACCACACATTCAAAATACTTTAAAAAACACTTTATTTACCTTTTACTGATTGGAGTTTTGAAATGCTTGAATACTGCAAAATATCTACGTTCTGCAATGTGAAATATCAAGTGGTTGAAATGGATTCAGGTCTGCATTTTTATCAGCAGCGTTGATAAAAAAAAAAAAAAGTTCCATTTGTCCTTAATTTCTGCTGGAGGAAAAGTTACAGGGTCAATAAAACGTTGGAGTTTACCCCTTTGGGATCATGTATGTTCTCAGTGTTCATCCAATTTCATGGCAGTCTGTTATTACACGGGAAGAATCCTTGTCTTCTGACATTTTATCCTGAAGGCAAAGCAAACTTGTGAGGGTGGTGAGCATCTAGACATCCTAACTTTATAAAAAAAATCACACTTATACTTCATTGTATTTGAAGGCCTTAAAGGAATGGTAGGCCCCACTACCTTTCATTGCTTTAAAAAAATAAATAAATAAAAATTTATAGGTTGTTTCGGTGAAATTTTCTAACGTTATGCTCAATTTCATGTGAAATCTTGCAAAATGGTGCAGCTCTCAGGTAATGTGTTAGTAATAACCCTCAGCTACTACAAGACAAATTTTAGCTCAGTGTCTGTAAAGCTAACTGTTATAGCCAGTTTATGTTAGCGATGTTCAAATGGCTGTGGCGGCCATGTTGAATTGAGTTTTGACTCCCAAAAGGTAAAACGTTATCACACACTGGCTCCCTCTCGCTCTTGGCGTCACTTTCCCTCGTCCCGTCTGCATCATCCCGCAACAGTCCAGTTTTTCGAAATCCGTTGTTGATGGTGGATTTTTTTCACATGGCCCAACACTGTCAGGATCCACTGGCAAACTTGGGCAAAAGTTGCTTTGCGCATGCGGCCAGTATTAGTAAATGATTTCTCGCCGCTCGTCATCCAAGCCTCCCACTCAGTTCAATGACAGTATCTCATTGGTCATTAAGGTTAGACTTCTGGTCACATGATGACAAACTGGGTGGAGTTATGGTAAGAAATCTGAAACGGTGAGCGACAGGCTCTGGATCCGATCTGATTACCTGAGGGCATTCACTTTAACAAAGGTGGTGCCAGGAACCACGAGCACTCAAAGAAAAATGATGGTAGGACGTCTTTCAAAATAGAATATAATAATATGCATTTTGAAAATTATGAAAAAAAAATACATTGTTTTTTTTTTTTCATTTACTCTTTATTTATACAGGTAGTTTCATTGAGTCACAAGAACTCATTTTCAAAAGAGACCTGATTTTGGGTGCAGATGGTGGGGGTTAAGGATAGTGTTGTTCGATACCAGGATTTTCTGGTCCGATTCGATATCGGTGGTATCGATGCTGATACTTTTTGCAAATATACCTAATATATAATAAACCTAAAAGAAAAGCAGTGTATTCAAATC